TGCTTAAGGATGGTCATTATTTTACCTTACAATTAACAAGGCTGAAATTAAATAGTCTATTATGTTAATATTTTATCTAGTTTTAGCTTTTCCAGTCTCACGTATTATACAGCTCTTAATAACAGCTAGCAGAAGCAAGGAATTTTTTTCTTTCTTTCAAATAGTCTGTTAATCCTTTTTATAAAAACTAAGGGTCCAAATATTGTAGTAGACTTGGTGTAAGAGAAGACATTCACTTGGAAATGCTACTTCCCTAGTCATGATCATATCTTAGGATTATATGAGAGACACTGCTCAGAGTGCATCACCGGCGGGGTCCAGCACTGCATTACTGGTATCTGTGTTCTCAGACTAGGTCACACTTTGATCACTTCCGTTTCCTTGCAGGTAGATCTGTGCTGAGAGCAAGTTGCATTGTTACTCAGGTGGACCAGTAACTGTGCAAGCAGGTGTATTTTTAGTTGCTTCTATTAGTAGCTTCGCAGCTAGAAAAGGGAGAGCAAAGACTGTGAAGCAGGGAGAGTGGAGAGAAAGTGCAGTCTGTCTTCCCTCAGCCCGAGAGCAGTGATCCAGCTGCACCAGCCTGTGCTACCAGCCAGCTTACCAGTGTAAACTGCTGCAATTAATGTAGCATTAGAATTAAAAGGAGATTAAATCTTTAGATACAAGTAGGTGGGTACAAATGTAATAGTACCAAACCTGGGAGATTCACAAACAAAACTCAGAGAGTGGCAGCTGTTAAGTAAAGTATTTGAGACTACAAGGTATGACAAGGAGTTGAGCAAATCCTTATCCTACACTGAGTGAGAAAGAGTAACACTAAGGATGTATTTAAAGAAATTGACATTTTAAAGCAAGTGATGAGTTTGTGTCTGAAAGAAAATCAACATTTATGTATTTATTCTGAAGACCTGAGGCCAGTTACAAAAACGAGTTTCCACAACTGATTTCTCCACTTGAGAGGTCAAATTCAAGACAAAATAGTGTTTCCTCCATTTCCCTCAGCATTAAAGCTGCTTTTAAAACTCCTGTTATCCCACGCTCCTCCCAAAGAGGAAAAAAACTCAGTGGTCAGGGCCAGTGTGCACCATCACTGCTTGGATTACTTTCTTTGGAACGGGAGCGGTAATTTTGGGGAGAGCTTCCAGTAGGAACAGATGAGATTCAACAAAAGGTGTGGAACTAACAGCTATGCATCCGAGTCAGGTGCGGGAGTAGAAAGGAAGAATTTTGCTGGGCTTCCTAATTAAGGTGGCAGTTTTTAGTTAGTATGATTCTAGTACTAGCTTAACAGTCTCATATGAGATAAATTAATTTAACAGCACACGTATACAGGAGTTTCTTGTCAGCACAGAAGGGAATGGAATTACATAGTCAAGTGGAATACTTAATACAGTGACGTATTTCAACTGGCCAAAAGTGGTTGTATCGCGAAAGTTCTATAGTGTTTTTAAGAAGTGTAACGTATTACTAGATCCCAGGTGGCAAACAGTTCCGAAGAGCGATAGCAATGGGTAGCCTTGCAAATAATTACATTTTCCACGTGCTGTCCTCTCAGATGTTTCTGGCATGGTGCTTTTCTACAGCCGTTCTACTTGGAAGTGCTGGATAGTATTTAAAAGGAGCAGTACCAGCCTTGCCTTTCCCCTGTACTGCTTCTTGGATGAAGTATGGTAGGTCAGGGAGATTTTACCACATAGATAGATGCCTTTATAAAAAGACCTACAATTCTATGCAACTTTATATTAACAAATAAACACTGAACTGTCTTCCAGCATTATGGTTCACTGCCAATTTATTTACATTTTCTACCTTTATATACACAAGGATAAAACAGGGCTTAACAGATCTTAATCTCTAGTCTGTAAAAGAAACAGTAACACTATTTGTATCACTTTGCAGTACACTTTGTATAAAAGTTGAACTAATAAAGGATCTATACCATCATCAATGCAGTTTAGTTCACTTCTTCCTCTTACAGAAGTTTGAGCACCCTCTTTATCGGATGAAATAGCCAAATTTAGGTACACTGGCCACGCAGTGCAGGAAGTCATGAAAAAAAACTACAGTTCCAAGGTCAGTGCGCTGGAGTGAGCAAGGCCGTATTTTGCCAAATAGAGGGACTGTATTGCAGTAAACAAGGCAGGCGTTCAGGCCAGCCGTATCCCTTCTCAAGGATTTTTCTCCTGCCTCTCAGCTGGGAGTTTCTGATTGGCACAAGCAGCCTGTTTGAAGGCAAAGAGCTAGCAAAAGCTGAAAACTCCTTGGCTACGAGAGGATGAGAGTCCAGTCCTGCACAGGTGGCAGGGTAATAAATTAGCAAGAAGGGGAAAATTAATTCACTGTCCATCAGCTG